CAAAGGTCGGGGGGACTCCACACACGGTTTCTCTGGCCTGAAGCCATTTCTTTCTCCCACTGTACCTCACCGTGGCTGCAGGATTCCCACCTCCCGGGGCCCCCAGCATCCCCCGGAAGCACCTCTCTTCCCACGCAATCCAGGCCTACTTTCTGAAGTGTCCCCTCTCACTCTGACCCCCCTTTTGGGAGAGGAGCAAGCTGGGGTGAGGCCTGCCCCCTGTCCCCCCTCCCAAGTGGGGCCCACGTGGCCGTCCCCGCTCCCAGGCGTGGGTCCTTCGGTCTCTTGTCCCACATGGCAGGATGACACCGGGCAGGTGCGGTGCTGGCTCCTCCCCCTTGGCCAGGGCTGGTGGGCCGTGGGGCCCTTGGCGGGGGGGCAGGCAGAGCGTGAGTCGCCCTGGGCCCTGTGCCAGGTGCTAGGACGGAGGAGGGACAGGGCTGGAGGAGTGGACCCCCTGGCGGGCCCAGCTGCGAGAGCGATCCCGGTCTCCTCATCCTTGGTCTAGGTGCCTGCCCTGCGTTGCCTTGGGCCGTGGTGACAGGTGACCACAGACTGGGGGGCTTCAGACAGCACACACGTGTTCTCCACTGGCTCTGGGGGGTCGGAAGTCTGACACGGGTGTCACGGGGCTGAAGTCAGGGTGTTGCAGGGCCACGCCCCTGGGGGCTCCAGGGAAGAAGCCGTTTCCAGGCCTTTCCAGCTTTGTAGACACCTGCACTCCTGGGCTCGGGGCCCCTCCTCCACCTCCACCTTCACAACCAGCAGGGGCAGATGGGGTCCTTCCCAATCCCCCCCGGGACCCCTCTCTCCTGCCTGTGCTTCCCCTGAGAGGGCGGGCCCTGGGACAACACCGGCCACCTGGATGATCCAGGTCACCGTCCTGTTGTAATGTAAGGTCGGCTGCTAGCACCTGACTCCCCTGTGCAACCTTGGTTCTCTCTTGCCAGGGGCTGGAACCTCCTCAGCTTATGGGGTTGGGATGTGGATGTCTTTGGGGGGCCATTAGCCTGCCCGCCCCCGCCCCCCACATTGCCAGGAGCCTCTCTCTCCAGCTTGTGAACGGGGTCTCCTGGCTTAAGGTGGCACCGGCCACCCCGAGCCTTCCTCTGCCTGCGCAGGGTGCCAAGCACCCCACGGGGCCTCTGACCTTTATGGCAGCCGGGTCACCTCCCATGGTGCGGGCACGCCGCCAGAGGCCACAAGGCAGTGTGGGCAGGACCCGGGGGGTGGGGGAAGCAGTTCATCAGCCTGGTATTCCGTCCCCTTGCAGTCCCTGTACCCCGATGATGCAGCTGCAGGCCTCCGCGGGGCCGGCCTCCCCAGCGCCCCCGGCGGTCACCCCGCAGCCGGGCCGCTGTGCGTGCCTTCCCGGGGCCGGTGAGCCGAGCCCTGCAGGGCTGATCTGTTAGTCCTGCCAGCGACCCCCGCCGGGTGCGCACGCCCAGCCCTGTGGCTGAGCTCCCCTGCCCTGAGCGGCCAGTTTGTCTTAAACTTTCTTCCTACTGTGGTAAAACACACAGAACCGACAGTTTGCCATTTGGAACCGTGTTGACGTGTCTGATTTGGTGGCATGCAGGGTGTCGTGCACCGTGGCTATTTCCAAATCCACCTCCTGGCTCCACACAGGCCTGTTCCCGCCCCCTCCTCACGCGCCCTCCCCAGCCCCTGCGGACCGGTTGCTCCTTTCCGTCCCTAGGAACGCCCCTGTTCTCCACCCTTCACTTGTCGTGGGGTGCGTGGCCCGTGTGGCTGGCTGCTTTCATTCGGCATCATGTCTTCGAGGCTCATCCATGTGTATCCTGGGTCAGCACTTCTTCCTTCTAAACACATTTTTTTGGGGAGCCAGTCGTTTACTTGGGAGTCCATTTCAGGGAGCGGGAGTAGGGGTCGGCACTGTGAAATAGGGACGGTGGAAAATTCAATATAGACTTTTTTTTATTGAGGTATAATTACATAGAACATGGTATTAGTTTCAGGTGTATGACAGGATGCCTCGGTCTGTGGTGCAAAAGGATCGCCACCGTGAGTCTAACTGACATTGTCACCATACGCAGTTACAGAAACGTTTGTTCCTGAGTTCTCGGGTGAGAAAAGTTCTTGATGAGAACTTTTAAGATCTACTTTTTTCCTAAGTAGGCTCCACACCCAGCGTGGAGCCCAACATGGGGCTGAGATCATGACCTGAGCTGAAACCTTAAGTCAGACGCTCAACCGACTGAGCCGCCCAGGCGCCCCCCACATAGTGTTATTAACTGTGGTCACTATCCTTTACGTTACACCCTCAGGACTTAATTCTTTTTTGACTGGAACTTTTGTTCCCTTTTATGGCTGAATAACATTCCATTGTGTGGACACACCACATTTTGTTTTATCTGGTCACCTGCGGATGGACACTGGGGTCGGTTTCAGCTTTTGGCTGCTGTGAATGGTGCGGTGAACGTTGGTGTGCAAGTATCTGTGTGTGCCCCCAATTTAAAGTCTTTGGGGTCTGTATTTAGAAGTGAAATTGCTGGGGCCTATGGTAATTCTACAGTTACGTCTTTGAGGAACTGCCAAATGGTTTTCCATGGCGGCTGCACCATGTTGCCTCCCCCCCAGCAGTGTCCGAGCAGGGGCTCCGGTATTGCCGCATCCTTGCCAGCAGTCGCTGTTGTCCGTTTTTGACTCTGGCCGTCCTCGCGGGGGTGAAGGGGGATCTCATTTGTGGTCTTCGTTTGCATTTCCCTGGTGACTACTGATGCAGAGCATCTTTTCCTGTGCTTCTTGGCTGGTTGCACATCTTTGGAGACCTGCCTGTTCAAGTCCTTTGTCCATTTTACGTTGGGCTGTTTGTCTTTGTTGTTGAGTTGTGGGAAGTCTTTATATATTCTGGATATTAAACCTTCATCTGGAGTGAGGATTTGAACCCGCTCCGAATGCTGCCCTCTCCCAGCCCTCCACGGTGCTGTGGCTCCTGAGCACCCCGTTGAGTGGGCCTGAGTTTTGTCACCTGTTGCTTGGCTTGCTTGCTTTGTCTGAAGTTCTGTGTCTACACTTGTGCTGTGACCAGTGTCCCGGCGGGGTCCTTGGCCAAGCTCCAGGGAGAGAGCTCCCGGGATCAAAGGGCCCCGGCGGCTTTGTGCAGCTTGGAGGCCGGGGGACTGGCGTTGTCCCAGGCCGGAGGCGGCCTCTGTGTGCAACGGGGGGCAGCTGCAGTGGGAGCCACGGGCGGGGGAGCAGGGGGCCCTGGTTCTGTCCACCATGGGGTTCACACCCCACCTCGGCCGCTCGAAGGCCGTGCTTAGGGCTGTGGAGAGCCGCTGCTCCCTGGGCTAGAGCTCAAGCCACTGTAGCTGTCCGATGAGGTTGAAGGCTTGGTGGGGGCGCTGGGGTAAGGGCTGCCTGGGGGATTCTGTTGGCTTCCGGGCAGAGGTGGCCTGGGGTTCTAGGGCTCGGGAACCCCAGCTCCCCGCAGCATCTCCAGCAGATGCGGGCTGTTCGCTGTCATGGAGCCAGCATCGTTTTGTGGGGACAGACACCCTGTGAAGCATATCATACCCCTGCCATCACACACCGGCACACCGGGGCCCAGAGAGGGTGGGGATGTAGCCCCAGCCACATAGCAAGATCAAGACTAACCCCAAGATGGGCTTGGGGGGTGGCAGCTCAGGCAGGAGGATCCTGAGCCTGAGTCTCCCTTCTGACTGGGGCAGACTCCCTTTGCCCCTGTTGTGTGTTTCTGCTTGCATACTCCCAGGGACAAGCAGCTCACTACCTCTGAAGCGGCCTGTTCCATTGCTGGGTGGCTTTTACTGAAAGGTTTGTGCGCTGGGAGGAAGGTGGAGGGGCCTGGCTGTAGGGACCTTGGGCAGCTGAGCAGAACTGTCACATCCTTCCCTTCTAAGCACAAAGGGGAAGTAACTTTCTGGGTCAGTTGGAGGACAGGGCTGGGCAGGATTTGCCCTTGGCCTGGATGGTTCCGGGCCCTGTCCGTGGGCCAGCCTGGGGCGGCTGGGCCCAAGGCAGCCCAGCTGCTCTGTGGGCAGGAGCGGTGAAGACCCTGGAGACCAGCACTGGCTCTCTTGGCTGCCCGGGATAAGTCCCGCTGACCTCGTGGGCCTCAGTTTCTTTTATCTGTGCATCACAGCGCGGCTCTGCCTCCGAGGGCCTGTGAACCAGGGCACAGAGCAGACCTGGGAGCATCTCCCCCTGAGCATGGGGTGACCCCTGGCCCTGTCCATCCCCACCCCTGCACCAGACTCCTTGCCGCCCTCCCACCGAGCAGCCAGGGAGGTTTCTGGAAGGCACAGCTGTCTTGCCCCAAGGGCACCCCCCCCCCACTCTTATGCTACCCCTGCAGGGTCTGGCTGCTTTCTGGCCGGAAGGCCCTCCCCTGCTTGGCCCACTCACACCATCATTGTCTTTTTCTTTCCTGTAGAACGAACTACAGAAAAGGACAAAAGATTCTGTAACGAGCACCCCCACCCCCAAAATAAATGCATTCAACATTTTATCATGTTTCCTTAGATCTTGTTTAGGAACTGAAACACCAAGAGGGAGAGCCAGAGCCCTCCACACCCCCCACCCCTGGCCACCCCTGTGCCCTCCGGGGTTCCCGATGCATCCGGGTGCCGCGCGCGCCCCGTCATTTGGGCTGGAAGCCCCCAGCAGCGCACAGCACCTGCAGCTCTCGGCCGCTGCTTGGATTTTGGGCATTATGTTTCTGTGACCTGTGGTGACACCTGCTCTTTCCTTAGGCCGGTGGCAAAGACACCCCCCCCCCCCGGCCCCGCTCTGGGAAGTCTCCCTGGGGCCCCCAGGTGGTGGGGAGGCAGGCGTGTCTGGCTCTGCCAGGGCCAGGTCTTCGAGGGACCTTGCTGTCACTGCCTGGGGCTCAGTGGATGGTGCCAGGAAGGGGGCAGGGGGGAGGCCGAGCTCTGTCCAGGGTGGGGGGTCGGGGGGGGGGCCCACGCGGCCGGCGCGCCCGCCTCACCTTCTCTCCTCGGTCCCGCCCGCAGCCAAGTACCCGGCCCTCAAGGCCCTGATGCGGCCGGACCCTCGGCTCAAGTGGACGGTGCTGGGGCTGGTGCTGGCGCAGCTGCTGGCCTGCCGGCTGGCGCGGGACCTGCCATGGCGCTGGCTGCTCTTCTGGGCCTACGCCTTCGGCGGCTGCATCAACCACGCGCTGACACTGGCCATCCACGACATCTCGCACAACGCGGCCTTCGGCTCGGGCCGCGCGGGGCACAACCGCTGGCTCGCCGTGTTCGCCAACCTGCCCGTGGGCCTGCCCTACGCCGCCTCCTTCAAGAAGTACCACGTGGACCACCACCGCTACCTGGGTGGCCACGGGCTGGACGTGGACGTGCCCACGCGCCTGGAGGGCTGGCTCTTCTGCACGCCGGCGCGCAAGCTGCTCTGGCTGCTGCTGCAGCCCTTCTTCTACTCGCTGCGGCCGCTCTGCGTGCACCCCAAGGCCGTGACCCGCATGGAGGTGCTCAACGCCCTGGTGCAGCTGGCCGCCGACGCTGCCCTCTTCACCCTGTGGGGGCTCAAGCCCGTGGTCTACCTGCTGGCCAGCTCCCTGCTGGGCCTCGGCCTGCACCCCATCTCGGGCCACTTCGTGGCCGAGCACTACATGTTCGTCAAGGGCCACGAGACGTACTCCTACTACGGGCCCCTCAACTGGATCACGTTCAACGCGGGCTACCACGTGGAGCACCACGACTTCCCCAGCATCCCGGGCTGCAACCTGCCCCTGGTACGCCGTGGCGCCGGAGAGCGGGGGGCGGGGGGGCCACAGCCCGGCTCTCCAGGCCTTGCTGATCGCCGTCTGCCCGCCGTCTCAGTTGTGGTCCCAGGGTGGCGGGAGAGGCCTCCCCCCACCCCCACCCCCACCCCCGGATAGGCGGGGGCCCGGCTGCAGAATAAGGAGGTGGCTTCTGGGAGGGCAGGGGCTCGCGGCGGGGGCGGGGAATGGAAACCTTCTTGAACCCAGGCTGGACGTCCTTGGGCAGGCCCCTTGCCCTCTCTGTGCCTCGGCTGCCCCTTCCTTAAGACGGGCCGGCACAGCCATACTGCACGCAAAACACCTCCCCTTCCTGGCTCCCACCTCCCCTGTCCCTGCTCATTTCCCGTCACTGCCCTGTGACCCTCCAGGGCCCCCTCCTGGCCCAGAGAGGACAGGGTGGGCCTTGGCCCTTTGTGACCCCCCCGGGGCTGGGCCTGAGCTGGAGCTGCCCGGGGTTGGGGAACCTCTGAAGGAGGAAGGAGGGAGGAGGGAGGGGGAGGAAGAGGAGAGGAGGAGCTGTGGCTGGCGGGTTAGGAAGAGCTGGGGGTGACCTGAGGCCCAGAGTGGCTGGGGGAGGCGTCGGTGGGGAGGATGTCGGAGCATTGGAGTCTGTGTGTGCACGTGTTCCTGCAGGCATGTGTGCACGCCCGTGTGCAGATGCTTGCATGTGTCCGAGTGTGCCGTTGTGTGTACACGTGTTTGTGCATGTGGTCGTGTGTGAGCACCCGTCTGGGCATGCGGGTGACCCCGGAGTGCGGCCGCCGGCGGTGTGTCTGGCCCTGGCTGTGCAGCCCCCGGCCCTCGCCTCCCCTGCGGCTCCTGCTGGCGCTCCTGAGGTCCCACTGTGTGCCGGGCACCATCTCAGCCTCACCCCGGGCCCGTGCAGTGGGCGTCCTCCTTCCCTGTTGTCCACCTTCAGGCTCAGGCAGGGGCTGGCCGGAAGCGCGTGCTGTTAGCTGTGAGCCTTTCTTTTCTTCTCCCCGGCAAAGTCAAGGCTCCCCGCTCCTGCCTCAGGCAGGTGGTCTGGTCTCCCGAGCCCCTGTCTTCCGCTATAAAGCAGGCCCTGAGCACTGGGTGCATCCCCCTGGGGGGAGTGAAGGGCATCCCCGGCAGTTGGCGAGCGGCGGTGGGGGTGCCCATGTAGGTGCTGAGGCTGGGAGGGCTTCCGGGAGGAGGTGGGCCGAGGGTGTGGGTGCAGTGGGGGCAGGAGGCTAGAGGGAGATGTATGCTCCACGCCGTTGGGAAATGGGAAGCACTAAGGCTGGGAGGAGGGTGATGGGGTGGGGGCCTGGTGTCAGCTGAGGCCGGAGGGGCTGGGGGGCAGGAGAGGGCGGGGGACGCTGGGCGGACGAGCGTGGCCGTGACCATGACTCAGCAGAAGTCAAGCCAGGCTGTGCCTCAGAAGTCTGCAGGTGCTTGGGGGAACGGAAGCCGGGCCCACCTGGGGCTCCTGGATCACAAACTTGGCATGGGCTCTAGAGAGGGGACGGTGCATTTTTAACTCCTCACCCTGACTTGGGGCAGGGGGCTCGGAGCCTGTCAGTGTCCCAGGCCAGCGGCCCCTCCACGTCAGGCAGCACCGAGCAGCCTGGCTGTGCTGGACATGGGTACCCTGGGTGGTGACGGTGTGTGTGTGTGCACGCGTGTGTGTCAGTGTGTGCCCGTCGGCGTGTCAGTGTGTGCTCGTGCACATGCTCCCACGCAGGGTTGTGTGCACGCTCGCGTGCTCCCGTGCATGTGTGTGGCAGGGAGGCGTGCGCCCGGCCCGGCCTCTGACCCTGCCCACCCTCTCTGCAGGTGCGGAAGATTGCTCCCGAGTACTACGACCACCTGCCGCAGCACCACTCGTGGGTGAAGGTGCTCTGGGATTTCGTGCTCAAGGACTCCCTGGGGCCCTACGCCAGGGTGAAGCGGGTGTGCAGGCTGGCCGAGGACGGTCTGTGAGCCCCGCTCGTGATGGCAGTCAGGGGGACCCTGTGGGCCCCCTTGGCTCCCCTGCTGCAGAGCTGGCTATCACCTCCCCCTCCCCCCCCCCCAGCCTAGCACCCAGAACTGGTTTGGCTGCATTTGGTTCCCACGCCCTGGCTGCACTCTGTCCCAGAGCCCAGTGCCATGTCTGGCCACACTGGGCACGGGCTGCAGCCTGGAGAGGCTTGGTCTGCACCTGCACTGTCGCCCCCCGGCCGGGCCCTCCTCTTCTGCCGGCCCCGCCCTGGGTGCTCCGTGCCGCACTGTCCACGGAGCGGATTTCTCTGCTGGTCCCACGCCTCGCATTGTTTGCACACCCGCAGATCGTGCTTCCCAGTGGCGGTCAAGGCCCCAGCCTGGCCTCAGAGAGGGGCGCTGGCACCCCCCGGCGGGCCTCAGGTCTGCGTGCCTCCTTCCCGGACAGCCCAGGCCATGGCCCCTCTGCTCCCCACCCTCAGGGACTGTGGCTCTCCACGCTTTGTGCTTAGCAGCATCCCCGGGGGCGGGGGGGGGGGTGTGCCTCTGTGGGTGGCCCCTGCGTGCCCTGGGGCGTGGGGGTCCCTGGGGCCCGGAAGCCCCTAGTTAGCAGCCTTCCTGCCTCTCCAGCCCGGCTGAGCGCTGCAGACCTGGCTTTCCTCAGTCGTACCCCTGCCTCTGCTCCACCCTGAGGCCTTGGCCTGGGGGCGGCCCTCTCTGAGCCCCAGAGGGCTGAGGCTGGACAGGGTGGGGTCTGGCTCCCTGACTAGCTCCCTCAGGACTTGAAGAGATCTTCAGGAACGGGTGCCGTGGGCCAGACGGAGGGTAGACGGGGCTGGACAGATAGGGGACTGGCTGAGTGAACGGTAGCTCCGGGAGCAGCCGGCCGGTGTCCTTGGTCATGACCCTGTCCTGACTGACGGGGGCACGGCTGAAACCTAGGGGGCTGCAAGGCGTGGGCTCCTGGTCTCCCAGGGGCCGGCAGGCAGGAGGGGTACCTGGGTCCCCAGGGAGGCTGAGGACCAGCCCTGGATGGGCGCCGCCGGGCTGTGCTGGCTGACCCGGGAGGAAGGCCTGGTGCCGCGTCCTGTGCCTGAGACCCGGCAGGTGCTGAGCGCGGACTTCCTGCCGGGGGCCGGGAGTGGCCTCCTGAGATGCCAGGCACCCGTGTCCCCTAGACACTGAGCTGGCCCTGGGAAGAGGCCGCCGGCCCCGCGGCTGTTGTGGGAGGGAAGCGCAGCTTGGCCAGAGTTCTTGGAGCCTGGGCAGGTGGCTGGCCCGCTTGGGGGCTGCCGGCACAGCCTCCTGCAGAGCTGTCCTGGGGAGGAGGCTGCCCGGGGAGAGAAGTGTGCTCTGTCACCACCTGCCAGCCCCACCCCCCCGCCGCACTGGGTCAGAACGGGTGCTGGACCTGGCGGTGGCGGGGGGACGGGCAGCCGCTCTGAGATCAGGCCTCAGGCTGCTCACCCCCCAACAGGCAGAACCGTCCTCCTCCCATCTTCCGGGTTGTTGGGAGCACTCGATGGGTTGGGGTGTCCAGAGCCTGGCCAGAAAACAGCAGTCCCCTGTCATCAGCCAGACTGGGGGCCCCACCTCATCCCCTCCCCCTCTGCCCCCATCCCTCGGAGGACGGCTGGGCAAACTGTGTCCCTGGGGGTCAGGAGATGGGACAGCATTTCCAGCTTGCCCCTGGCCCAGGGGCAGATCCTCTCTGGCTCCAGAGGGGACTCACAGGGTCTGAGAAGTGCTGGGGTGGGCCTTGGGTGGGTGTGCAGGGCAGGGCCATGGTCCTCCCTGGACCATGCAGCCTGTCACTTCCCTGTCCCCGCTGCCTTGCTAAGCCCAAGCCACCACTCCCTGAGCTGTGGTCAGCAGCCCCTTTGATGCTCCAGGTGTGGGGGGCACTCAGGGCCTGTCTTGGGGGAGGCCAGGGGGGCAGCCCTCCCCAGGACCCCTGGCTGGAAGTGCCTGAGCGGCCCCTGCTCTCGCTCCCGCCTTCCCCTGTCCGCATTCAGCCCAGCTGCCCGCCAGGGCCACCACCTCGTTCTCATTGCTCCTGGCCACGAGGCCCGTGGGCTGCCCACCCAGAAGGGGGCATCCTCAGCCCGGAGTGGCCAAGAGCCGGCGTGAGAGAGCGAGCCCGAGCCAGGGGTGTGGACAGTAAGCGTTTATTACCACGTGGACACAGACACTGCGGTGCGTGGACAGACTTCACCACCACGACGCTGGGGACCGCTCGCCACTGCCAAGGTGTTAACAGCATCACCTAGGAGAAAACTCGGAAACCATCTAATGAAGTGCGTGATTTGGGGAGTCCTCTATAAACCAAAAGAAATGTACGCTTAAATAGGCAAATATAAAATACAAAAAAGGCGAGTAGACCTGGTGTTCTGTGTCAGGTAGGATCTAAAAAAATCCAGAAATTGAACTTGTTTCCTCATTTTAATATTTTATCACAGGTTAAGACTTCTAAATGAAGCACATCCCGGCTTCAGTGCGGGCTTGCGTGTGCTGGAGGCCTGGGGCCGCCGGGCCGTCGCTGTCCCCCGCCGTCAGCTGGCCTGGTGTCTTGGGCGGCAGCAGCAGGGGCCAAGGACACTATGAGGTGCTGATCCCGCTCAGCTCCTGCCGGATGGCTGCGGGACAGAGCAGGGAGGCTCAGGTGCAGCAGGGACAAGGCCAGCCTGGTTGTCTGTAGGGCCCTGTGCCCACACCCCCGGGCAGGACCTTTCTGGTGTGTGCCCTGTTCCGTCTCCCTGCTCCGTGTCCTAGAGCCTCAGCCAGGCTCCCGGAGGTCACGAGGCGCAGGCTGAGGTCCAGCAGCGCAGAGGACTCTGGCACAGACGGGGGTGACCACAGAGCCCTGTAGGCTCTCCTAGCGCGGGCAGTCTGAGGGGGGTGCCGCCCCTCCCAGGTAGAGGGCGAGCTGGGGGGCGGGGCGCAGATGGTGCTTGGCCTGCCTCCCGCCTCAGAGCGGGGCATCTAGTGCTGCTTCGGGGGCCCGGAGCCCCACTTCTGGCAGCGGCAGCAGGTGGGGCCTGGCCTTGAGCAGGGTTCCTCCTACTCTTCTCTCTAGCTTCCTGTCCGCACCCCTCACGGTGCACCCCCCAGACTGGGGCCTTTCGCCAGACAGACCCCGCTGGGCCTGGAGTTGAAAGAGCGGAGTGCCGGGCACTTAGCCAGTAACACGGGGGTGCTTCTCGGAGCCCCCACATTGCCCGTGCTTTCCCACGGGCCCAGCGACTGCCCACATGGCAGCTTCCACCGGCCGCTGCGCCTACCCAGCCTCCTGCAGAGCGAGGCCCAGGGGCATGTGTCCCAGCACCTCCCAGGGCCTCCATCCCTGCCCGCCCCCCCCTCCCCCAGGCTGGCGCACAGCAGCTCTGGCCCTGGAGCCGGAGCGTCGGCCCCTCCCAGGTGCGGGGGTGGGGGGTGGGGGCAGCAATAAAGCAGAGTTAATAGTCAGCCTGGTGTCTCCTCTCTGGCTCCAGGACCTGGCCTTGCTCTTCATTCATTAACTCCTTATCTGCCCAGCCCAGGCCTGTTGGGGGGGGGGGGGGGGGGGGGGGGGGACGGACGACGACGACGACCGGACACACACCAGACAGACAAAAACTGAGCACGCTCCGCTGGGGCAAGGACGGGCCTGGCCGGTCCCAGCTCGGGGCCCAGGCCCCGCACGTGGGCTCCCACCCAGCCTCCCCTCTCCAGCCCCCTGCCACCAGCGTGCACCCCTTTTAGTTCCCAGAGCCCTCTCTTGCCCAGGTCCCCACTGCCGCTGTGGGGACCAGGCCCAGCCTCAGGAGGGGGAGGGAGGCGGGCTGGGCCCGGGCTGCGCCTCACTGCCCGCTCTGCCTAAACCCTTCCTCTCCCTCCGGCGCAGGACCTGAGCCAGGACCGCTGTGATGCCCTGTGCCCGGCCTAGTCTCTGCAGCCAGAGGCTCTTGGCGCGGGAGCTGCATGCCGGCTGCCCGGCCCGGGGCCAAGCAAGCGGGGCACTGCGTCAGAGCCACAGGTGGTTCTGTGGCTTCTTGGTCCCAGTAACCACCTCCTGGGGAAGGCCGCAGCCACGCTCGGAACCCAAACCCGGTGATCAAAGGTAGCAGAGTCCAGAAAGGCAGTCTGATTGTACAGATACTGAGACGGACGAGGGACAGACTGGAGGCGGCTTCAACTCTATTGCTCTGGAATGCGTTCTCTGATCCCTCTCCCCTCCACACATTCACACGTGCTTCCCAGGGAGGAAGCCGGGGAGTGCGGAGCTAGCTGTCACCCCACCTCACTTAACTGAGCCTCCGTCTGCTTGACCAGAGAATGGGGGTGATATGGAACCGCGGGCCTCTGGGCCCAGAAGGGTCTCCCTGGCTGGGCCGCCACCACTCTGCTGTCTTGCAGCCCTGGGGGCCAGGCTGCCCTGCCGCTCCCCCGGGACCCTGGGTGACCACGCCCCAGGGCGGCCCCCCCGCCACCCCCCCGCACTCACCGTCGATGATTTCCTCCTTCACTTTGTGCAGCTCTCGGACCACCTCCTCGAGGATCTCCTGTTGGGAGCAGAGCCTCAATGTGAAGGGACAGGAAGCAGAGTCCGGGAAGCTGGCTTTACCAGGGGTGGCCCCAGGGGTGGGGGTGGGGGGGCCCAGAGCAGGCTGGAGTGTCCAGAAGGGCAGAGGGGTGCTTTTCTGCTGATGACGGGGCTGGGGGCCCAGAGCTGAGCGTGGGCGCCCCCTTCCTCCACCGCTGGCTCCCTGAGCGACTTCCGGCCGCCCTGCCGAGCCTGCCTACCCGCGTGGACCCGAGAGGGTCCCGGCCTCTGGCTCTGTCATGGCCTCCCAGGAAAGGTCACACTCACCTGTTTCATCCGATCCAAATCTAAGGCATCCAGGGCCACGTCATTCACGCTCCCCACTGGCTTCATCCTGAAGAGGATGGCAGGGTGCGGTAAGGGGGGCGGCAGGGCCGGCGGGTGCCCCCCACGCGGGAACAGAGCTTGAGAGAGCAGGCCGG